CTAGCCTTCTAGTTACCAGTCAAATTCCTTAGGCACTATGCCACCAGAGATCCCTGAATATGATAAGGTACCTACAAAAAAAAAGAGATGAACTCAGAAAAGAATATGCCAATTTTTAAGCAGAAATTAGAGGGTATATGTTAGAGAAGGAAAAGTCAGAGGGTATATAATAGATAAACCCAAAAACTGAGCTTATTGTCATGAGGTTGATTGTGACTCATAGCGATGCTCACTGGGTTTCCAAGGCTGTAAATCTTTACAGAAACAGAATGCCTGATCTTTCTTCTACAGAGTGGCTGGTGGGTTCACCACTGATCTTTTGGTTGACAGCAAAATGCCTTAACCACTACACCACCAGAGATCCTTATAAAATACATAAGGGGTCAGCAAACTTTCTGTAAAGAGCGACATAGTAAGTATTTTAGACTTTGCCAGTCGTATAGACTCTGTTGCAACAACTCAACACAGCTTTTGTTGTATGAAAACAACAATATATTTATCCAGAATGCAATAATATGTATATATATACAACACAGTATGTGAACAAATGAGCATGGATGTGTTCAAATAAAAATTTATTTTTGAACATTGATATTTGAATTTTATATAATTTTGATGAAATATTCTTCACCTTTTGATTTCATATAACTATTTTAAAAAGTAAAGACCTTCTTCAGCACATAGGCAGTACAAAAACAGGCAGTGGGTTAGATTTGCCATGTCAGCTGTAGTTTCTAATCCCTGTAATAGAGGGGCTGTCTAGGTTGGAAAATTAAACTCTCTGTTCTCAAGGCTTTCTAGCTGGCAAAGTATTTTCAAGATAAATTAAAACCTGGAGGCAAAGATAAAATCAAGTGCATGAGCAGAAAGACATGGCCTCAGAATAAAATCAAATCAAGGATGTGTCTGTCAGATTCTCTGTTAAAATCTTGAAAAGAACTAAAGTACCAAGGAGGTATTTTCACCAGGGGGGGAAAAAAAAAAATTCTAGAAATCCTAAGGGTGCTGTCCCATAGCAGGCTAGCATGAGGCATTCTCAAAAAGAATGGTGGGTGTGACTTTCAATACATTGAGTGGATGCCAACACACAGAAAGCTCAGAAAATTGTTTAAAGACTTCTACATGCAAAAGTGCTGCCAGTTTAGACTAAAAGGTAGTGAGAC